TCAGGTGCAAGGTAAAGATCGGCAAATTGTACAGAATACTGCTGAGCAGCTAGGATTGGAAGGCTCGTTCATTCCACGCACCTATATAGAACAAATCCAACTGGAAAAACTAATAAATGAAGTAATGGTATGATTTGCTGTTGAGGCTATGATCTTCTTTTTTGTATTACGTTTCAATTTGGGTTCCTGATTGAAAGTTGCCATTACAGGCCTTACCAGAAGATTTGAAGAACAAGCTAAGCTTAGATGAGGATAGTTCAAGCCCAAAAGAAGCACTCATGCGGGCATCTGCAGATAGAGTAGCCATGAGAAATAAGAACCTCAAAAGGTACACTTCTTTTGAGGAGTGTATGAGAAAGCTTTGTTACTTCCAATCCATGTGTCCTTAAGTTAGTTATATGCCATTTGTGATACACAGAGGCATGTCACACTCGTACTCAACTCAAAGAGATAAGAACCTGTCCAGGCTTACTGGTTACTCTTCAAGCGATAGGAGGTACGAAGAGAGAAATCACGACTCACCAGCCAACGAGGTTCATATTTGTTCCTCTTGCATTCCCTCTTGGCAACTTTGAAGTCTTCGTTTTTAACTTACGTTCTGATTTTCATCTGTTTTCTTTAGGGATTTATGACTCAGCTTTCGGAACAAATATCAACTCTCAATGAGAGAATGGATGAGTTCACAAGCCGGATCGAAGAGCTGAATTCAAAGCTAAGCTGCAACAAAAACTCACCAACACAGCAGAGCATGACACTTCAAGCTGAAGTCTGCAATGGCTCAGCTCCGACTTCGTATTTCATATCTGGTCTGGACAATGGCTGTTTGACAAATTCCATAATGCCTCATTCATCATCATCCTCCCAATTAGCCAAGGACTCGCCATTAATGGAAGAGGTAAGTAACCTCACATTTTCCTCGTTTATGGAATTTGGATTTTATTACTGAGTTGCTGCTGGTTTCTGGTGCAACCCAGATATCGACCATTTCACGTGGACAGCGTCAAGTGATGCATCAGTTGGATAATCTGTGCAATCTGATGAGAGAAAGCTCAGCAGAAAGGTCACGGCTAGCAAGAACAGGGAGCAGCAATGGAAGCAGCAGAGGGAGATCAAGGAAAGGCTTCTTCTTGTCGAATGCGAAATCGAGTAGCCTCCCTCTGGTGCTAACCTTGGCTGTTTGCAGCATAGGGATTGTAGTGATGAAGAGCTACATTAACAAGCGGCAATAACATCTATAACCACTTTGGATCTTCTCTCTTCTTTCTTTTTTGGTATTTTTCTCACTGGAGGCGTTTTGTGAGCTTCCGTGGTTTCTCTACGTAGACGATGTGACACCAATTCTCTTCCCCTAAATTAGTCGTTTGGAAGACATTCTCGATTTAATTTTATTCAATAAAATTCACTTTTTTTTTCTCTCTTTTGGCTTAGTAAGTTTATTTTACTCTTTTTATGTTGTTAGTTATTACTTATTACATTAATCAAACTAGGATACCAAACACAAAAAGAAAATTCATTGAGAGTAGACTCATTCAAAGTAATAATTATTTGTTTTAATTTATTGAGTACAGTAATAAATAATACTCCCTCCGTTTTATAATAAATGTCATTTTAACAAAATGAATCTGGACTATCTTTAATGTATCTAGATGTTTTTTTATACATCTAGATACATTGGGTAAGTCAAGAATCAAAACGACACTTATTATGAAATGAAGGGAGTACATCAAAACACATTATTTAAATCCATATGTGATGGGGGTTTTGGTCGTGGAATTTAGAAAACGAAAAACATGAGTGTCCTATATTATTCTTAGATACATATTGTTTTTTTTTTTTTTTTTTTTTTTTTTTTTGTGTTCGTCCACATTCCAATCAATCGTAAGCTCAGTAATGATAACTTTGTTGTCGTCCTCATCGAGCGGGATATACAAACCAAAGGTTTCGAAAACACATCTCTCATTTGAAATGTCTGTACCTATCATTGGCACCTTGGTAAGTTTTGTCACTTGAAACCTTACATTTTCAATAACGTCAATCAGATTATAATTTGCATCTAGTTGCAATTTTTCATAAACAATAGATAGATGAGAACTTCGATGAGATATTCTTTTTAAAAACTATTTGGAACTATTTCGTGTATCTATTAAAAAAAAGTGTATCTTAAGTTAAGTCAGTTTAAAAATGATTTGTGAAGTGAGGAAATCTGACATGTTTTGGTAGTGAATTTACAATTTACCAATTGGATAGAAATTTTGAAAAAAAAAATATTAGTAATAAGAAAATGAAAATTTTGCATCAAGAAACCAGTCAATTAAATGTAAAAATTAATCTATTTACTCTCAACCAACACATACCAGTAAACAAAACAATGAATGTAAATAAAACTTTCGTACAATCTAAGTACAATGTGGAACATGATTTATTTCCGAACCGAGAACACAAGTCTTATACGAAAGTCCAAAAAGAAAAGGTCTCAAATTCATGCATATTGTTGATTCAAACAAAATAGTTATAATTATTTGTTTTGGCTACTTGATTTAATTGCATGGATTATTTTGGTGGAGTTTGAAAAGGAGTACCCTAAAGAATACGTCACAAGAAATTATCTAAATCGATATGTGATGGGGCTTGAAGTTGTTATCTCGACTCGGAATAAATCTCGTAAAATTAATTGAAAGTTCATCAATTCCAATAATTCTAATTGTAACTCGGTTTTGTTTGAAATTGACCTCTTCCCCAGTCCCGGTTAATAGGGTGTGTCAAGTGGATACAACACAGGGCCCATATTTTTAATCAATTTTTCTTAGTAATTTTAGGGTCTGATTGTTAATATTTTCTTAATATTTTCTGTAAATTAGAGTCTAAATTGTTAATCTTTCTGGAAATCAGGTACTAATTTTGTAAACAAAAATTCTAAAAAGGGCCTATATTTCAAAATACATCATTAGTTTGAGATATTTTTTCCAATGTATCACAGGGTCCAAAACAATTTCGAGCCAAAAGGCACAAAACAGAGTCATGTTTGGTCCGGATTTATGTGTAATGAATTTTGTGTTCGATTTGGGTCATTGTTACAACTTACAACGTTTCTTATAAAAGTAGAAACAAGGTGGATTGCTGAAATGTGCCGAAATGTGCTAGAAACAAACATGATGCCAATGTTTGAAAATGTAAGAATTTAATTTACTTTTGTATTATTATATAGTTATTTCATTTTATTTAATCATCATTGATTTTATTTCTAATAGTGATTGGAGATGTTCTAGCTGGCTTGAAGTTGAGGAGTGGAGGGTTCTATTTGACAATGCTGGGAAATTTAATATATCAAAGGCCAAGGACATTCCAAAACTGACACCATGCATCTTCCGTATTGAGAGCCAAAAGTACGAAGATTAGAACGAATGGGAAACAATTCCAATGGTTGGAAGTGTTATCACTATACCGCTTGTAAGTGAATTCCCCCTAAATCTATTTGATCTGTATTCGTTTGCAATCACGAATGCAAACACTTTCTCAAAGTTTTTCTCATATTTGCAGCAAATTGGAGGGACTAATATCCACAAATTCGTGTTCAACACAACAATGGCTAAACTCACACGTGAGGATAATGGGCGTGTTTTCAGGAAAATGGTAATCATGAGGCAATTACATGAGGAGTATAAAAATGTTACGTTCATGCACTACGCCTACCACCATTGGTAGTGAGTTTCATAAATTTGGTAATCCAAAATAACTATATTGTGTTTCATTTATTTCTTTTATTATTTATTTGAATTCATTTGTTGAGCCTAAATTGACGATTTATTTATTTAAAGACTTTCGCTGAATTATTATTTAATTGATTTATTTTTCTAAAAAAACTTTGGTTGTTTCAAATGATCTCCATTCTTGGGCCTTTCCGGTTAGCCAAAACTCCACTGGTTCAGGATTTGTCATTTCGGATGGTAGAATTGTGACAAATGCTCATGTGGTCACTGGTGCCACATCTGTTGAAGTGAAGAAGCTCAATTATGGGTTTTTTAGGTTTTGGTCATGAATGTGACTTAGCGGTTTTAGTCACGGAAGATGATGGGTTTTGGCAAGGGATGAAAGATAATTAATTTGGTACAATCTAAGTGCAATGTGGAAGATAATTAATTTCCGACCCGAGAACACGAGGCTTATACAAAAGTCCAAAAAGAAAAGGTCTCAAATTCATTCATATTGTTGATTCACACAAAATAAATCCATTTATGATTGTGCTTGAGGTAGTTACTTCGGATTCAAAGATTTCAGATGTTTGATATGATGAATAATGATATTAGGAATATGTGTTAATGGAGAACCAGGCTAAAGGCTCAAAACATAGTATGTTTGTTATGGATTTATGTGTTGTGAATTTTGTGTTCGATTTTGGTCATTGTTACAACGTATGTCTTATAAAACTAGTATGATGTTTGTTCTCCGAATCTTGAAATTCGGTGGATTATTTCTTGTGAACAATACTATGGCGGGTGTTTCTACGACATTTCAGGTATCTTTAATGAAATTAATGATGCCTTGTGACTTTTTTTTAGTTGTGGGTTGTGATTGTGATTTTGCTTTTCTTTTTGTTCTTACATTGATCAACAAGACCTGGATGCAACTGAGACACAGAGACAAAGTCCGATACCAAACACAAAAAGAAACTTTATTGACTTGAGTAGACTGATTCAAAGAAAAAAGCAGATGTCCTTAGGCAGCAAGAGTTGTTGAAATGAGACGATGTCCTTAGGCAGCAACATTTTTATTCACTCTTTAAGAGATACATTGAAACTATTAGTGAAGACTACACAAAGTTTTCCTTTGATCAGTTTTCTCCATTGACCTCATTCTTTAATGGAGTTCATGATTATAGTTTGGTCCACTAGAATTGCTCTACACAAAATCTACAGATTATCACCAACTATGGTGTTCGTTTCTGTGTGGCTTCTTGGGCATCTCATGGAGCTGAAAAGAAGGGGAGGAGTTTCCGAATACCATCATATTGCTTTGTCTAACCAGGCCGGCAATCTCAACTCAGATTTCATTCCGAGTCTTGTGAGGAAGACTGAGTAGAGGAGATGCAGCAACAGCACAAAGAATCCACTGTTTAGCAACAGCTGTTGAGAATCAAATAAAAGTGTCTCAGCATCTTTCTATTTTCCGGGTTCCATAGAGAGAAGAGTAGTGATAAAGAGATTGCGTACCACTGTTCCGAATATCATATAAATGAGGCTCATTGAAGGCATTATGTTCAAGCCCATGGCGGTGAAAACATAAGAGAGAGAGGCATGGATGTTAATTGTGATCTGCAAGAACAATGCAGTACGAGTTTTCTTTGCACAAGAGTTTCTTTGGGTGAAGAGAGTGATAAGTTTTTTAGGGAAAGAGGCTTACCACAGCGAGAATGTTTTCTCTTATTAAGAAGGATGATGTCAGAACATATCCTATGAGACCCAATGCTCGGACCTGCATGAGAGGAAACACGACAATATTGTCACGTAAACAAGGAGATAAGTTAACTGGTCTGTGTAATCGCAGGAAGCAGACATTTCACCATTGTGCACAAGAAAATCGAGAGACGCCAGCTTGCCTTCTTCCTGAGAACAGAAGAACATTTGTGACAAATAGTGTTAAGCTGCCTGAAGTAATCAACTTCCAAAACTTCAGTCATTTTCCTCAAGAGTAAAGGCAGTAAAAAGATATTTGCAAACTCCAAATCAATTGGATCAGTTTGAAGTTTTTGTTGTGGTCCATAACTAAAAAGTGTGCAAGACAGAGACGAGTATATGGATTTACATACCTCCACAGTGAGCCAATTGCAAGCCCCACAAGACCATGAGTAAGCTACAAGAGAAATCCCCACAAGTTAAGTAATGGTGATGCAATCTTTGTGAAAAGGGAAATAACAAAGAAACAAGAATAAGCATCAGAAGATATAAACTCTGCTTGGCAAACTAGCAAAGAGGAGGCTTACAAAGTAAGTTAATGCTTTGACAGGGCCTGATAGTATGAACAACAGCATGACAGTAGCAACCTGATAAACAAAAAACACCACAATGACTTGAAGCACATGTCCAATAAAAAGAAAAACTTGAATTCTTAAAAGAAAAAAAGTTGTTTACAAACCATTGTCTTCCTGCCGCCTGCAATATTCCATCTTATCGAAGATATCACTATTGGCAGCGAGAAGAAACACCCAAAGTAGTTCTGCGTTCAAAGAGGCAACTCAGACTCGGCACAGAAGGAACAATTAAGTAGTTACGTCACACTAAAGATCAAACACCTTAAAGAACGATGATTCTCACACTTCCTTTGTTTCCAGAGTCATCATTTTTTTTATAAGACTCTTAAAAAACAATCTCCAGGCAATCAAACTTTGTCTCACTATGTAGAATGCAAAACATGACCTTAACATTCCATATGATATGAACAAAACTTCATAACAAAATAAGAAAAACTTGGCAATCGGCGAAATATGCAATTTCCCAAATGAATAAATTTCGAAAAGTGGGGGGAAAAACCTCAATGGCGAGAGAATTGCTGAGAAAGTAAACGAGGCCGGTGACGGCAGCGAACATGGCGCACTCCACCAGTCTCAGCGTTTTCTGGTAAACGACTTCGTCTCTCTCCTCCGCCGAGACGTAAGCTTCTTCTTTCTTCCCATTCTCTTGATTACTTGAAATCGAAGCTCTGCTGCTGCTGGAGAAGCTCGAGAGCGCGAAGGAGCTTCGGTTGGAGGTGGTAACGAGAGAGATTCTGGGTCTCTGTAGAGAGATTGACAACGGAGAAGAGGGAGAAGAAGCAAAGGAATGTGTAGTGGCAAAACGGTGAAATTGAGTAATGGTGGAGTGGTAATGAATCGTTTTGAGGAGATTCATGGAGGCGAAGAAAGTATCCGCCTCTCTCAGAGATAAATTCCCACGGCGAGAGAGCTTTCTTCTCCGTCGATTTTTGATTTTTGAGATAACTGGTCAGATTGAAATTATTTGATTTCACAAAACCGGATCAAACCAGTTTAAACCGATGGTATAATCCATCATTTCGATTTGGTCTTTCGTCGTTTCTTTCCTCTTCGCCTCCTCTATAAAGGCTCCGACATCAAATTCTAGGAGAGTGGTGAGTGGTGACGACTCCGTTCTGCTTTTTTCCTCCAACTCTCTGGAGCTGAGCGAGCGGGAAATTGAAAATTGAGGGTAGCAAGAGAACTTTGAAAACTCTCGACTCTTTGATCCCATCTGGAATTTTGCTCTTGTTCACTCGATTCCTCTCCAAAGTTGATATAGAATCCGAAACATGGTGGTCGACCAAGATCAGCAATGGCTGCTCGGCTGCTTGACTGCAAGTCTTGACCCTAATCAGAACGTTCGCTCTTTCGCTGAGGCTTCACTCAATCAGGCCTCTCTTCAACCAGGTCAGTGGCTTCATCGTTAAACTGGATACTGATTTTGCCAATTGAAACCATTTATCCCCTCTGATAATCTATGGAATATGAATGTTTGGGTATATGCCCAAAATTTGAAAGCATTTGATGTGTTTCTTATTGAGAACGATGAGCATTTGAGCATATCCTCGTCTTGTTCTGGTTACTGGTAGATGAATAAAAGATGAAGATGACCATACTTTCTAGATTTTTGTTCTCGTAGGGTTTGGCAGCGCATTGTGCAGGGTTGCTGCTAACAAAGACCTCTCATTGGGATTGCGCCAAATATCCTTTTTTCCATAGCATAGATTTGATTTTACCCTAAACAATCCAGCAGTCTCTCTCTGGATTTCCTTTTAAAAGTTTGAGTATTGTGAAGTTCTTAACCTAGTGTTACCTAGCTGCCGTCCTGTTAAAGCAGTTCATTAAGAAACATTGGCGAGAGGGCGAGGAGGACTTTGAATATCCTGTTGTCTCGAGTGAGGAAAAGGTACTCTCACTATTCTTTTTTCTATTGTTTGGATTTCCTGCTGCTATAGTTTGCTTATGATTATGAAATATACTTTTGGTTTTGTTATTAGGCTCTTATTCGAGTACTACTGTTGGGCTCACTTGATGACTCTCATAGAAAAATGTGTACAGCCATTAGTATGGACATATCGTCAATTGCCACATATGATTGGCCAGAAGAGTGGCCTGAGCTGTTACCCTTTCTCTTGAAGTTGATTAGCGATCAAAACAACATTAATGGAGGTATATTTGCGTTCCCTGTTTTGTTCCCTCTAGAGACATACTTTTTGATACCTCATGAGACGTGCTTAGACTGAATTTTATTGGCAAATTCAACAGTTCACGGAGCTTTGAGGTGTTTGGCTCTTCTCTCTGGTGACTTGGATGACAAAGAGGTGCCTACACTGGTACCTGTGTTATTTCCTTGCTTGCATGCAGTCGTATCCTCTCCTCAGGTTTGTATCCTAATATTTATACGGTCAAACTTGTGTTTAATCATATTTTGTTAATGTAAATTTTAGTGATGAAGGCTCTTATGAAGCTCATTCCCTTTGTACATGTAGAACTATGACAAGTATATGCGAGGAAAAGCCCTTTCGATTCTTTACTCATGTATATCTGTTCTTGGAGCAATCAGTGGTGTGTACAAGGTACTTTCTTTTATAAAATTCTCATTCTATACACAAATTTTAAATGTGTTTTGCTTCAGCTACTTCTGTTATCAGTTGACACATATAAAGTGTTTATATTCAGACAGAAACTACTACTTTGGTGACTCCTCTGCTTAAGGTTTGGATGAATCAGTTTTCACTTATATTGGAACATCCTGTGGAACGTGAGGATCCTGATGATTGGAGTTTAAGAATGGAGGTTCGACTCATCTTGTGATTGTTGTAACTTTGATCCCAGGAAATGGCCGGAATTGTTTAACAGGCTCTTGTCGTTGTTTTGGTTTTTGTCTGCTCCAATTAGGTTTTGAAGTGCTTGAATCAGTTTGTACAGAATTTTCCATTTCTCATTGAAACTGAATTGATGGGTATGTTCTCGTGTGACCCATTTCACCTGTTTATTCAAACAAATGCATCTGAAGCATCGTTATTGAAACATAATATTATTGCAGCTATTATGAGGCCATTGTGGCACACATTTGAGTCATCTCTACAAGTCTATCTTCGATCGTCAATTGAAGGTGCTGAAGATTCATATGATGGAAGATACGATTCAGATGGTGAAGAAAAGAGTCTTGACACTTTTGTCATCCAGGTAATTTGTTTTCCTTCAAGGTCTCAATTTTTAAATAATCTTTAAACTAGAGCTGGGGCGTCGGCTCATAGATTGTTGTATTTCAATGAGTTTGAGGCCTAACTGACACTGGTTTTTGCATGTGTATCCTTTGTGAAGCTATTTGAGTTTCTGTCAACCATCGTTAGCAGTAGAAGACTGGCAAAGGTCTGGCTGAAACCTTTTCAGTTTTTTCCTTCACTTTGGTCGTATGCTGCTTTGGTTCTTACCCAAATATTTTTTTTTCAGGTCATTGTTAGCAATGTCAGAGAATTGGTATATCAAACTGTCGCTTTCCTGCAGGTTACAGAACAACAGGTAAGGATGAATCATGCATCTTCTGCCTACTCAAACCTGATATGATATATTGGTTATATTTGGTCTTTAAAATCTCTGATGATAACTTGAATCTATTTCGTGGGCTGTTGGGGCAATTCAGTGTTTGCTTTTCCGATATACTGTTTGCCATGTGGTGATTTAAATACCGCAAATTAGCTGCTAAATCTTTAAAAGGCTTTATTTAAATCATCTTAGGCTTGCTCAGAAACAATATGTAATATGATGTTTTTTTAGCTAGTTGTGTCATCCCTTTTCCTATTTGTTTTCTAGCAATATTTAAATTAGTTTGCGGTTTCTATGTCATAGCAGAAAATATGTCTTTATTCTTTATCTCACATGTAGCTGCTCTCCAGGTTCATACGTGGTCCATGGATGTAAACCAGTTTGTAGCCGATGAAGATGAGGGGAGCTACAGTTGTCGTATATCAGGTAAGCTGTCTCTCGTTCTTCTCAAGTCAAATTCATCTACTTATATTTAGTCGGAGTCAAAATTTGGAGGTCATAGGCATATGTGTATATGCAAAATTCATGAATATGCAACCATACAATTACCTGCTGCACCACAGGAATACTTTTGTTGGAGGAAGTTGTCAATAGTTTTGGTAGGGAAGGGATCAATGCCGTTGTAGATGCTGCTGGAAAACGGTTCCAAGAGTCTCAAGGAGAAAAGACAGCTGGTTCTTCGGCCTGGTGGAGAGTAAGTGCACATAATTTCTCTTTGTTCTTGTATTTCTTGAAAGGTTTAAAAGCCATTGTCACCAATTCTGTGAATATTTGTTTCTTTTTCCTCCCTCGTTAATGTTTTATTATTAACTTACCACTTTGATATCTTCCATTTGTTAGATAAGAGAAGCTGCTCTATTTGCTTTGTCTTCTCTTGCCGATCAACTTGTTGAAGCTGAGGTTTGTGTGTTCCATAGAAATGTAATTACGAAAAAGTTATTATGGTGGTAGTCGTGTTATTTATTAATATTATAATCCTTTCAGAACTTGAGAACTGACCATGCCAATTTAGCTAAATTTGTTGAGCAATTGATAATGGAAGATACTGGGATTGGTAGGTATTGTAAGATTTACTGCTCCAGCATTTTTTTTCTCATTTTGCATTCAAATTGTGGTACATGTCATGACTGGAGCCTTTATTTTAACAGGGTATAATGAATGTCCATTCCTTTATGCCCGCATATTTACAGCAGTTGCTAAGTTCTCCTCTGTGGTAATTTCTGATTTTCTTTTCTCTGGATATAACTTTAGCCTGGAATATATGAATTGAATCCTTTTCACGTTAATCAGATCAACCCTGGGATTCTTGAGCACTTCCTCAATGCTGCTGTTAGAGCTATTAACATGGACGTGTAAGTTTCCTACCCTTCTTCTGGTAGTATCTTTATCGACAGATATAAATGTTAACTTACTAGATACCATTATAAACAGGCCTCCCCCTGTAAAAGTAGGCGCATGTCGGGCACTTTTGCAGCTCCTACCCGATATGAACCGTTCAGTTATTCTGCCTCAAATCATGAATTTATTTTCATCTCTCACTGATCTTCTCCATCAGGTAAAGTTTTCTTCTTATGAACTATTATAGTATTGTCTGCGTCTACTTTTATTTTTGTGTCAATAAATTTTTTTGATTCTTTTGTTTAGGCTTCAGATGAAACTTTGACTTTGGTACTTGAAACTCTTCAACAAGCAATCAAGGCTGGTAAGTAAACATTATTTCTCCTTGCATAACACTTTCAGAATCTATTCATGTAATATTTCTTACAAATCTCCTATTTTCTAGGCCATGAAGCATCAGCTTCAATAGAGTCTATTATCTCTCCAGTGATTCTTAATGTGTGGGTGGCACATGTTTCAGATCCTTTTATGAGTATCGATATTCTTGACGTCTTGGAGGTAAATCTCGTTGTTAGAAAATGCAATTTTCCGTAGTTTGTTTATTTTAAGTCTCTGGACACTGCTTATATCTTTCGAGAGTGAACATTAAAATTACTAATGACTTATATCTTGCCTATGGCTGTCACACAGGCAATAAAGGATTCGCCTGGCTGCCTTCATCCACTGACATCACGGATTTTACCATTCATAGGACCAATATTAAATAAGGTGCTGTTCAGAATCATGATTCTGTTTTTTGGTCTCTGTTTACTATTTTCTTTTCCCTAGTTTCCTTTTAAAAGACATCTATGTGGTGATAATCAGCCACATCAGCAGCCGGAAGGACTAGCAAGCGGATCCTTGGATCTTTTAACTATGCTTCTTAAGGCAAGTTATACTAGCTGGATTTTTGAATAGTGGACAGTGTTTCTCGTGTTTTGCTGACTATTTTTCTAGTCATATATAGGGTGCCCCAGGTGATATAGTGAAAACTACATATGACTTTTGCTTTGATGCTGTCATTCGTATCATTCTCCACAGTGAGGACCATAGTGAACTTCAGGTGATAAACCTTTCCACGTCTACTTTGCTTCATGTTATCTATCTTGAAAGAATCACTTATCCCTAGCCTTTTTATTGGTCAGAATGCTACAGAATGTCTGGCAGCTTTTATATCTAGTGGAAGACAAGAGTTGCTCTCGTGGAGTGGTGACCCTGGTGTTACCATGAGAAGTTTGCTTGATGCAGCTTCTAGGTACAATTCTTCACTTACCTTTTTGTTTGGGTTTATTTCACGTCCATCAAAAGCTGAAGGCACACTGTTTAGTGTTTTCTTTTTGCATTTTTGTATATCTCAACACTTACGCATGTGAAAAGAAAATCAGTGACGAATTTTGCATATACATCTATTAACCATAAAAGCTGTAGTCTGAATCACCACCTGCAATTGTTTTTGGGTACCGCTCTGCATAATTTCGGTGATATTTACATTTCTTGGAATCACTTGATGAATTGTTTTGAGCACCCTGGTTTGGTTGGTCATCAATGTTTTTAATTGGTATCTGTTTAAGTGTACTGTCTTTCGTTGCAAAGTGATTTCTTAATGTTGGCGCAGGCTTCTCAACCCTGATCTGGAATGTTCTGGATCTTTATTTGCTGGGAAGTACATTCTGCAGCTTATCTTGCATCTTCCGTCAGAGATGGCTCCCCATGTCCAGGATCTGGTTGCTGCTCTTGTAAGACGGATGCAGTCTGCTGACATTTCGGGTTTCAGAAGCTCGTTGCTGCTGATTTTTGCCAGATTGGTATTCTTCACCTTTCATTTGGATAGTTTAGAAGATTAATGGTCTCTCTCTTCTTTGTAAGATGCTGTAACCGGAAGTATCTTTTTCCATTTGATTTTTGCAGGTTCATATGACTTTTCCAAACGTGGATCAATTTATCAATCTGCTTGTTAGCGTCCCTGCTGATGGCCATGAAAATTCCTTTGCTTATGTTATGACAGAATGGACTAAACAACAAGGCAAGCATCTCTATTCGTGTTATCTAGTTGTATGGTCTACCTGATGGATCACAATAAGTGTTTTGCTGGTTATTTCAACTGATGGTTGGTTTGCATCTATTTACAGGGGAGATACAAGGGGCATATCAAATTAAAGTCACATCTTCAGCTCTGGCCTTGCTACTGTCCACTAGACATTCTGAATTCTCGAAGGTCAATGTCCCAGGCAGTCCGATTCAGGTCTTAAGCTGTACCTTTCTAGACCTTTGAAAAAAAAAAACCAGTTCACTCTCATTCTCTCACAGCCTAACAGCTTGAATCTTTTTTTCTTTCTTGTATAGTCCAATGGTGGCATAACCACGCGCTCAAAAGCTAGATCTGCTCCTGAACAGTGGACCATTATCCCTCTACCCATGAAGGTATGTGTTTGTTTGATTTCTTATTGTAAATGTACTCAACGCACAAGCTGCAAGTCAATACACGTATTCTTTGGGGATATACAGTTCTGTCTTGACTCATTTTGATGCCCTTTACCGTTCTTAATCGTTTACATTTATGGCTCTCGCAGATACTGGCTTTACTAGCTGATACATTGATTGAAATTCAAGAGCAAGTTATGGGTTGTGAAGATGAGGTGATTATGCTTCCTCGGAGCTTTTTTATTTGATTTTTGTTCCCGTTTTTCAGTTGAGTGGAACTGAAGATGCTAATTCCTTAATTTCGAAGTAGCAGGATAGTGAATGGGAAGAAGTCCATGAAGGAGACGTTGAAGCTGAGAAAGATTTGCTACGTTCATCTGGTGCCTCTCAATCCAGCAAACCCTCATATGACCAACTTGAAGCAATGGCTCGAAATTTCGAGGTCCTTTTTCCTCTTTTACCTATATGGATATACCATTAAAGCTTATCTCATCAGTGTTAACCATTGATTCGACAGAACCGAGATGATGAGGATGGTGATGATGACCTACATGTTACCGACCCCCTTAATGAGGTGAACTCTTGTGTTTTACTGTACATATGTTTTGTTTCTCTGCTTCTCGTTCTTCAAATCTTGATCTGTTTCACCAAGTCTCTTTCTCTCTACAACAAGCAGATTAACTTGGCAAGTTACCTGGCTGATTTTTTGTTGAGGTTTTCGAATGGAGACCGGCCTTTGTTTGATAATCTTTGCCAGGTTTGGTTTCTATCCTCTATATAACCTAACCTAACAATATCGTGAGCTTGATATGAACCACTTGGCTTGTTTCCAAAATCTGTAGGGCTTAACACATGCGCAAAGAAACGTGATCCAGACGGTACTGAACCGCTAGATTTGGCGTCAAAGTCCACAAATTATGTCTCGAGTGTTGTTTTTGTTGTTGATTGATTCTTAGGAATTAAAGAAACGGTAGCATCCTTTTGTAAGAGTGTCATTTTAACCCAAAAATATTCATATATTTATGAAACTGATCTTTGGATTCTAAGAAAGCTAATCCTCCAGTTTTATGTTTGACTCTAAAATAAAAACTCTTAAATATAAACGTCCTAAATTTAAACTATATTTGACTAATCTACATAACTAATAAGGCTTGGACACTCTCAAGTTCGGGACACATGGCACTTTCTTTTTTTTTTTTCCTTTCAAACGCCAAAACGACATCGTTTTGTGGCACTTTTTTTTCCCTCGCCTAACGCCAAAACGACGCCGTTTCCTGAATTCCCTTCTCAGTGCCTCCAAAACAACGTCGTTTTGATTCTATGTTAATATAATTTTATTCTCATTTCTCACACGATTCCTTCCTCTCCACCTCTCCGCCGAGATCCTCTTGCTCCCGAAATCCACACCTCCATTCCTTGCTTCCGCCGGGACTGTCACTCTTCCGTTTCAACCACTTCCGGTGATTCTCATGGGCAATTGTAACGGTTTCCGGTAACCCTCGCTCTCCACCACCGCCGGCCCGCGCGTTTGAAGATTTGCTCTTAGGACCCACGGCAGAGACAATCACGGTGCGCCTCCTTTTCAGATTTACGGTTATGAATCTGAATTTTGTTGATTGAGATTCCAGTTTTTTTTTCAGTTTTGGCTTCACCGTGTCTACAGTTTTAGTTGGAATTAGGGCTTCGGATTGACAAACAAATCGTGTGTTCATTCTAAGCTCCTTATATCGTTCTTCCTTCTATTGTGCTTCTGGAAATGTTTAAATTTCAAACCTCAGATCTGAGAGTTGTGTGATAAATTTGCATAAGCTGATCTGTTTATGTCATATTCTCTCTTATAAATTCTTAGGTTATCATTGTGTATCGCATCTTTCTGGACGATTTGGTCGGTATCATGAAGTTTCTGGAGTACGCTACGAAAGCCCTTTTTTCCTGTAGCTAGTACACTAACCTCGACAGGTTAAACATTATCACAGTCAGTTTTTGTGAATTATGAGAGTCAGTTTTTTTATCCTTCTATTTGGATACTGAAAGGATTTTGATTCCAGATTGAATGTGTTTTTCAGTCATCTAAATCTCGGGGAACGAACTATCAAAGGTTGCTTGGAAGCATATTCTTGTAAGCAACTCTTTGTATTCTCAAACAATTATCAAAGAAAATATGCGAAGCTTATCAATTTTTGTTTGTTTGTTTTCGATTAAAACTCTCAATTTGGAGAATGAGGTAATTTGATAGCATGAAGCGATGCGTACATGTAAAACTCTTTTGGAATTAAGACTTTGACACGTGGCACTCTCTCTTTTTTTTTTGTTTTTTTTTATGAAAACGACGTCGTTTCCATGGTAGCTTTAAATGGGCTTACAGGCTAATTAGCTCATTTCATTTCCTTTTAAAAAGGATTGCAATTATTATTATCTATGAGTCTGTAGGATAATAATCAATTTATAATGATTGTTAGTATAAGGAAAATTAGAAGAACTCAACTCCAGTCGATAAATTATTGTATAAAAGAACAAAAAAAATATGAAACTATTCACTATGAGTCTATATAAGATTTCACGTAAATAACAACTAAATTTTAAAACTATATGAAAAAAAACAAAATGCAAAACTTACAGAATCTAATATATTCGAGTAAAAACAAATGATATATCCGAATCTAATGTTCTGAATAATTAAATTAAAAATATTTGGTTTAATAAACCCGCGCATTGCGCGGATTCTCTCCTAGTTTCATTATAAATATGCAATATTTGTAGAGCCATAAATCTTTACTGATTATCACAGTGATGAGTAGTTAAATTGACAATTTATATTTTAAAATTAAAGATTGTGACTTAAGAAAAAATAAATGCCACATACTGATATACTTGGCCTTTGAAAAATAGGCAAAAACATAGAAAAGTAGCTGTTTGGACTTTTATTAGTGATTTTAGGGGTTGTGAATATTTGAAAACAACTAAAATCTCTTTGGTAATATTTAACTTTAAAGACTTTTAGTTCATTTAAAAGCACCTAAAATCAAGTTAAAAATTGCCAAGCACTCCAACGTCTTTTAATGTGTCATCTATTTTTCTTTTTTTCACCGACATCAAACACAACAATTAGTTCATTTTCATGAAACTGTTAGATTTCTAATATTGAATGTTGCTAGAAACATTCTAAGATACATTCGTGGATACAATATAAAACTTTGCATCAACTTTAATAACGAATCAGCTCCAAAGATTTGTGGTTACTGAAAGAAAAGCTAGTAATGGTTGCAAAGATTAATGACTGGAACCTTGTGATTTCAAATATAGAATTATTGTTAAAACTATTGTAAAACATATTATGTGGTTGAAGACACATTAATATATTTGAGAGTTGAACACATATTGGCACTTGTTTTCTCTAGTACTTCATAGTTGAGGTGGCTTCGTTTCGAAGAATTAGTGATTGTATTTGACCAGAGCCGTGCTCCCTTTGTTTCCAATAGTGCATTTGCACTGAGCCCCCAAAATGTATTAGTTCATAGAGGCCCCACTTTTATTGAAGTTATAGTAATCTAGTGGCTTTGACATGTTATAACAAAGGGCATAACCCAAGTTTCAGTCTACTTTTATACTTACTTTTATACCCTTTTATTGTTTTTTCAAAAAGAAAAATGAAATTACAAAACCAAAACTGAATGAGTTTTAAGTTTTAGACTAGAGTGTTATTTTGATTTTTTTTTCATTTATTTTATAATTATTTAAATAAAAATAATTCTATTGTAAATGCCCCATTTTTAAAAATTTGCCATGAGCCCCCCTTAACCTTGGCACGGCACTGTATTTGACGATGTTGATTTGTTTAACGTAGTGACCAAGCATGACATTCTTCAGCTGATTTCGAGTATTTTCCGAATAATACATGCGAAGAATTAGTGATTGTATATGTCGTTTTATCTTTACTGTTTAGTATTTAAAGGGCCCGACATGTTTGGGGTTTCCTTATGTGATTCACATCAAACATTAAACTATTAATATTGAGCCGCATTATCTCTTCCTCTCTAGATCTCCATTACAAGACAGGTCAACGGCTTTGTCGGTAGGTCACAGGCTTACCATCGCCATTCGGTGCCAGAAACCTGTTTCTGACGGCTTTAGCTCCATGGAATCCACGAAACATGTCTCTTCCGCCTCTTCTGTTTCATGTTCGATCGATTTTCTAACGTTGTGCCATCGACTCAAGGTATTTGTGGAGTGTGGAGCCATTTTATGATTATATCGATTCCGAAATCGGATTTACGGTTCCTCCTGTTCCAAAATCTATAGAGCTTAACACATGCGCAAAGAAACGTGATCAAGACGGTACTGAAGCGCTAGTATTGACGTCAGTCCACAAATTGTGTCTCGTGCGTTGTTTTTGTATTTTGATTGATTCTTAGGGATTAAAGAAATGGTAGCATCCTTTTGTAAGAGTGTCATTTTATACAAGAATGAATTTTGGAATTTGTAAGGAAGGAATTCCTTCGGTTTCATGTTTCACTTATATTTATAGTCCTCAGAAATAAACGTTAATTTAAAACATTTTAGGATTTCAGGAGTCGCTACAATAGACACCTATTATATACCTCATAACATAATGGGGATGATTGGTATAATACCATCTCCAATGTATTCCCTTATTTTTCCCCTTACTTTAGTGTTCCCTTATAATAGTGTTAAATTTAACTTCAATGTATTCCCTTATTCTAAAAAGGAATATTATATGGTATATTCTAAATCAAAATTTAGTATAAAAACCTTTAATTTATAAGTTTTATAAATTAGCCCAATTATTTTATTATTTGTGAAAAAATCCATATTTTATTTTTTTACAAATTAGCCCAATAGAAATTTAATCATTTTCTATAATATAAATCATGTCATTTTTATAAATCAAGAAAAAAAATATAATTTGTTTAAGTTCAAAATAAGAAAAAACGAAATTTGAAGGATCATTATGCAAATAAAAAACATCAACATCAAAAATAAGAGACTAAAAAAGTTACACTATATTTGAGGGAAAAAATAAGGTTCCCTTATTTTGATGGGAGAAATGACTCAATGAGGATGAGTTGGAGATGATTTTTATACTAAAATAGTGTTTAAGGAGGAAAATGAGGGTGGATTGGAGATGCTAGTTGTTCCACACAACTAAAAAAATCGCCAATGTTCAAATTAATCATGATTTACTTTTAAAAAATAGAGGTACAACCAAAAATTAAAAAAATTAAATGTATATATATATATATTAACTCTATAAATAAAAAAAATTTAGAGCACAAAGTTAAAGTTTTGAGAATTCTCCCAATTTTTTTTTCTTATTTTATCTTCTATGTCCTCTTTTAATTCGTTCTCTTTCGAAATATTTAAAAATATATCTAATGCTACATATATGATATTTAATGACACAATATATACATAAAAAATTCCTACAACGTAGATTCAATTTAAAGTCACAACTAAAAAACATACAACCTCATTTCTACAGCAAAAAAATTCAAAGTTACAGTCATATTCAATTAGGCCCAATAAAACCTAATATTTGTGTACATTACGGAACAAGGTGATAGATGTAAACCGCATGCCTGGACTACATTCAGATGTCCATGATTGATGTAAATCCATCTAAATGTAGTCCATTCCAAGTTCCAACAAAAAATGTAATCCATCTAAATGTAGTTCATCTATCTTGCAATGGAAAAGTTAGATATCTTGTATAACTAGGGATTAAAGCCTCATGCAAGCGCACGCAAGCGCGGGATTGTTTGTGATAATTTTTTGTATGATTTTATTTATTGATTTTGGTCACATGTTTGCTTTTATTTATATTCAGTGATTCGAAATTTATAATAACCATGGTTTTGTGTTAATTTTTATATTT